AGTTACTTCCGATGATCTCATGGTCATTTGTGAAGAAGATTGTATCAATTTTGTGGGCCAAGAGAGCAATTGAGAGATTGATTCTGGTGCTTCTTTTCATGTGACTTCTTGAGTTGATTTCTTCAGTACCTACACCAAATGAGATTATGGTTGTGTTCGAATGGGTAATAAAGGTTTGTCCAAGATTGTTGGCATGAGTGATGTTTGCTTGGAAACAAATTTGGGCTGTAAGTTGTTGTTTAAAGATGTGAGGCATGTTCTTGACATTCGCCTCAATTTGATCTCTACCGGGAAGCTAAATGATGAAGGCTTCAATAACAAATTTAATGATGGAATGTGCAAGCTCACAAAGGGTTCTTTAGTGGTGGCTAAGTGCAAGAAGACTCATACACTTTATTCGATTCAAGGAAAAATTTGTAAAGGTGTTGCACTTGAAGATGATACTTCTACCGAATTGTGACACAAGCGGCTTGGCCATATAAGTGAAAAGGGGTTACAAGTTTTGTTCAAGAAAGAGCTACTACCCGGTTTGAAAGGTAGACATCTTAAAACTTGTGTTCATTATTTGGCGGGTAAACAACATAGAGTTTCTTTTCATAAAAATGTTGTTTTTAGAAAAGAAAATGTTTTAGAGTTGATTCATTCGAATGTTTGTAGTCCTTTAAAAGTTAGAACACATAGTGTTGCACTTTATTTTGTTACTTTCATTGATGATTATTCAAGGAAAGTTTGGGCTTTTATACTAAAAACTAAAGATCAAGTTCTAGATGTATTTAAGCATTTTCAGGCCATGGTTGAAAGAGAAACATGGTAGAAATTGAAGTGCATCCAATCAGACAATGGTGGTAAATACATTGGGCCATTTGATGAGTATTGTCGCAGCCAAGGTATTCGGTATCGAAAGACAATTAAGAAAACTCCTCAACAAAAAGGTATTGCCGAGAGGATGAACCGCACCATTGTGGAAATAACAAGGTGTCTGATTTCCCATGCTAAATTGCCAAGATCCTTTTGGAGTGAGGCAATGAGGACAGCGGTTGACATGATCAATTTGTCTCATTCCTATTCTTTGAATGGTGATGTTCCAAAAAGAGTTTGGACTGGCAAAGATATGTCTTATAAGCCCTTGAGAGTGTTTGGTTGCCGAGCTTTTGTTCACATTCCAAATGATGAGAGGTCCAAGGTTGATAGTAAGTCAAGACAATGTATTTTGCTTGGCTATGAGCGTGATGAATTCAGTTATAGATTGTGGGATCCGGTCGACAAGAATGTCATTCGGAGCCGTGATGTTGTGTTTCTTGAAGACCAAACAATTGAAGACTTTGGCAAAGGTGATCAATCGGAGTCAAAATCTAGTGATCTCATTGACATGGATCCATCTTCTTCATCTTCAGTTGATGATGAAAATAGGGGAGATGTGCAACCACCCATTGAAGAAGTGGAGGATGATACTAATCCTAATGAAGTTGAGCCAGAAATTGAGGAAGAGCATTCAACTCAAGAACTGCCACCACAACTTGAGTTAAGGAAATCTACAAAGGATCGACAACCTTCAAGAAAGTATCCTTCAAATGAATTTGTGTTGATTTCTAATCAAGGAGAGTCTGAGAGCTACCAAAAAGCAATTGAGCATGCAAAGAAAGATGATTGGAAAAAGGTCATGGAAGAGAAAATGAATTCCTTACTTGAAAATCATACTTATGATTTAGTGAAGTTGCCTAAAGGAAGGAATATTCTGAAAAATAAGTGGGTTTTCAAATTGAAAAATGATGGCAAGAATCTGAGGTACAAAACACGTCTTGTTGTGAAAGGCTTTGGGCAAAAGAAAAGGTATTGACTTTGATGAGATTTTTTTGGCCAGTTGTGAAGATATCTTCTATTCGGGTTGTACTTGGCATGGGCACAAGTATGAACCTTGAAGTTGAGCAACTTGATGTAAGACCACATTTCTTCATGGTGACATTGAAGAAGAATTTACATGGAGTAACCGGAAGGTTTTGTAGAGAAAGAGAGAAGAAAATTTATTTGTAAATTGAAGAAAAGTTTGTATGTCCTCAAGCAAACCCTGCCGGCAATGATAATAAAAAATTTGACTCTTTCATAATGAATAATGGTTTTTCTAAACCACTTCGGATCATTGTGTGTTTGTGAAAAAAAATTTCAGAACTGGCAAATTTATTATTCTTTTGCTTTATGTTGATGACATGTTAATTGTGGGTCAAAATAATATTATGATTAACAGGTTGAAATTGGAGTTGAACAAGTTTTTTGCTATGAAAGATTTGGGGTTGGCAAAGCAAAATACTTGGTATGAAAATTGTTCATAATCGCAAAAAGGGACTAATTTGGTTGTCTCAAGAAAGTTATATTGAAAAAGTTTTTGAGAGTTTCAATATGGATAAAGCAAAGTCGATTGATTGTCCACTTGCGGGTCACTTTAAGCTTAGTTGGAATCAATGTTTTACAAGTGAGAAAAATAAGGAAGAGATGCAGAAAATTCCTTATGCTTCAGTAATTGATTCTTTGATATACGCCATGGTTTGTACAAGGTCGGATATTACTCACGCGGTTGGTGTGGTGAGTCGTTTTCTCTCTAATCCAGATAAAGAACATTGGGCAGCGGTGAAGTGGATTCTAAGGTATCTTTGAGGGACTTCGAATGTGTGTTTGTGTTTTGGGGATGATAAATCGATACTTGATGGGTTCATGGATTCTGACATGGCCGGTGATGTTAATTCTAGGAAATCTACTTCGGGGTATTGATGACATTTACAAGGGGAGTTGTGGCATGGAAATCTAAATTGCAAAAATGTGTTGCTCTCTCAACTACCGAAGCTGAATTTATTGCTATTATAGAAGATCGCAAAGAAAAGTTATGGTTGAAGAAATTTTTACAAGAGTTGGGTTTGAAATAAGAGAGATATGTGTTTTATTGTGATAGTCAAAGTGCTATTCATTTGAGTAAAAATTCTACTTTTCATTCGAGATCAAAACACATTGATTTGAGGTACTATTGGATTCGCGATGTGTTAGATTCGAAATTGTTACAACTCAAAAAGGTTCACACAGATGATAATATTTCAGATACGTTGACTAAGACTTTGTCAAGGGATAAACATTTGAAGTGTTGAACTTTGGCGGGTATGGTTGATGTCTCTACCTAAGTCAGTAGGGGGAGAATTGTTGGGTATACCTCCTTATTGGAGTACGGGACCCAATTGGTTTATTAAACAATTTAATTTGGTTTGGTGTTGGTTATAATATATATCTAACCTTTGAAAGCCCAATGGGTATTTAATATTTAGTTTGGTAGTAGTTAGGGTTTGAATAAAAGCCCTAGAATTAACAACATATATATTGTTTGTTGCTCTTCCCGAGGTTATGCAGTTGCTACAAAAATTGATCCGTTTTCAGCGGCTTTTGTTCTTGGGCTAGAAGCTTACTATGTGAGGACTTTTGGATTAATTTCATCTTCGGTGGAGGTTAAATTCGAAAGGTTTATTTCGGCTAAATTCGAAAGGTTTATTTCGGCTGTACTTTGTAGCGTTAGTGGAAGTTATTTTGATTCAGTTTTTCGGTTTTCTACAACTCTATTTCGAAAATTTTTGCTCATCTATTTGGTGAGGTCTTTCCTCTTGTTTATTTGTGATTATTTGAAATTCACCTAAGGGTGGTTTGTGAGACCATTTGTGTCTCGTTTGTAATCGTTTGGAAACTTTTTGGTTGATAGTGGAATCGGATTTTGATCCCGTGGACGTACCTCACATTAAGGGAACCACGTAAAATTCTTTTGTTGCTTTTGATTTAATTTTTTCGCATTAATTTTTATTCCCATTGATTGATTTACTTGTGGGAAATCATATATTTTCCCTAACACACCATCCGATCTACCACGATGATTGTTACATTGCACCTCTTCTCCATCATAGCCAAATCGACCTCTAGATCAAGGAAAATTATTTAATAATCTTGAAACATCACGTGATCATACTTCAAGCCAATCATCAATTACCAATTACTTAGCCTCCATTTTATTCCTCCATTCTCAACATAAATCGCGGGCTCCTATCTCTTTCAACCAATCAAAATTATATGAAGCACTACTTATCCATACTCCAAAAATAGTAAATAATCACCTCTAGATCAACCCCCTCTAGTTGAAAATCCATATCAAGTTTTCCTCTCCTACTCTCTCTCTCTCTCTCTCTCTCTCTCTCTCTCTCTAGATCAACCTCCTCTAGTTGAAAATCCATATCAAGTTTTCCTCTCCTACTCTCTCTCTCTCTCTCTCTCTCTCTCTCTCTCTGTGTGTTTTATCTTTTATTTATTTATTTATTATTTTGACAATGACTGATAGGGGACTAAGATAGGATAAGGGCTGAGTGTAGGCAGAGAGGGGCTAAAAGTGGATGATTGAAGGTGGAAGAGGCTGGGGGGTGGGTGAAGGGGTGTTTGACGGCTACAGAGCTGTGTGGGAAGGTCGAGTAGTAGTTGTAAAGCGTAGAAAAGCGTTGAGGAGGGAAAGGGAAGGGAGGAAGGACATTTTAGCAATTGCAATGATAAATACCACCTATTTGCAATATATTTTTGTTCCCACTGATTTGTAAATTGCCTCAAATCACTCTGGTTAGTGATTGCCCCCTTTAAAATTCTATATAGAAATAACTCAAAATCTTGGCAATAGTAGGTCTAATTTAAACCCATCCTTCATCCAATCCTAATGAACATGATGCATATGCATCCTCTCATGTATAATAACTGCTTTCCAAAAATAATTCACATGTGAACACCATAGATAAAATGCCTATATGCTATCCGCTTTTCGAGCACCATCGAGCATCATAGACATAGCTCCATTAGACTGTGTTTGGATATTATAAATGAACTTGTTAAAGAGAAAGGGGAAAAAAATAATGAATTGGAAGTTCATTTATTTTTTTCTCTTTAGTCCTTTCTTTTTTGTTTTGTTTTCCATCCACAAATCAAGACCCAAACGCCACTTCAAAAGAAGATAGTTGCTTCATTATCTACAATGGGGTTGAGTAGATGAATGAAGGAACACATCCACATTACGATCTATGTTTCTAAGATCACATCTTTATTTTTGCCTGTTACAAATTCTGTCCTCCTGGAAACAAAAAAGGATGTTATAATTTGACATGTTAACAAGTACTTTATAAGACAACACCACATCCAATCATGGTCCCAGCTGCATTCAGCTACCAAATTATCCCTTTTCTTTAACCCTGCAGTGTTGGGAGCCTCAGCCTCGTGCGCTGGGCTGCCCCATTTTAAGGAAGCCGTTAACCTCCCACAGCTCCTGAAAAAAATCAAAGTAAATTATAAACAAACAAAAAAAAGGAGAGAGAGAAAGAAAAAGAAAAAGGATAGAAAAGAAAAAACTCGATAGAAAATCTGTTGCTCTGAGATAATATTTTATCTTTGACATTTCAAGAGTAGAGTTTAAAACACTTCACAATTCCAAATTTCCAGCAGTGGGAGCCAAAAGGTTAAAAAATATAATGTCAATATTGAGCTATCAAAATAATCTTATTCATTCCCTATTTCCCTTGCTATAATTACAAAACAAGATCCAAAAACCAAATGGATACATGCCTCCCATCCAATATCATTCAAAGCAACCGAGGAAAATTCAGACTTTCAAAATCCAGGCCTCCTTTCTCCTTTTCTTTGAAGTGTAAAGTCGAGGCCTTTATTTTTGTCTCTAAATTCCAACGATTCTGTGGTTTAACAAACAAGTTCTAGTTTACTGGCCATTTTTGAAAATCAAAAACTCCACCACATGATGTTTTGGCTATTTGACACTTGCTTCGTACTTGTATGCAAACAACTCCTTGCATTACTTTTTTACCATTTTTTTTTTCCGGCTAAAAATTTAACAAACCAAGGCACTTTTTCTGACGGTGCTCTTTAGATTCGATATTCCATACACCCACTACAAGCAATACAACAACACATTAAAGGGCACCAACAAATGGGAACTCGTGAACGCAAAAGATTTGGAACCTTGGGCTCTCTCGCTATTTAGCTGTATATTCATATGGCTGCACAAAAACAACAAAACTCTGCAAAAGATCCAGTTGAAGAAGGAAAATGCTTCTCAAGCCTAAAAACGACAAAAAGATTCTAGTGTAGTAGTGGAACCTCTACCCCTTCAGAGGATCATTATTTTGATCCCTCCAAAAAAATTACATGATATAAAGCGGACTGCTTCCTAAGCCTTTGTAACACTCCACACTTAAAGCCCTCCAAGAGACTATCAAGCAACCAATCATCCTTGGCATCACCCAGACCCCACCACAAACAAAGAAAGCAAAACAGTCCAGAAGCCCAATGGCTTTGGAAGCACATCACCTTATGGCATGGTAACGTGTCACAGTTTATGAATCTTCCACTTATTTGATGTGATAGTAAAGAAATGTGATGTAAATGAAAACCCTCCAAACTACCATGAACACTTCCCTTTGGACCAAAAGGGCTTCTTGATGATCGTGGGACCTATAGAATTTGCTTTAATTAGGCTTTCAAAGCCTATTATACTTATTTAGTTATGCAATAGATGTGGCATTACTGAGCCACCTCAATTCCTCTTCCTTAGCCTAACATAATGTTAAAGTGTCATCTAAGATGGTGAGACACTAAGAGTTGAAAAACTCCCCTAACCGTTAAGGAAATATCACCTAACCATTCTCTCCAGCATGCGGCTGAAGCCCCTATCACAATAATGAAGACGAAAGGAGAAAGGGGGTCTCCCCACCCTGGAACCCTAAAACTTGTGAAGAAGGCCTTTGGGACTCCATTCACAATTACTGAGAACATAACAAACAACACACTATATCTAATCCAAATTATCCATCTTCATCCAAAACTCATCTTCAGCAATAGAAAAATAAAGAACTTCAAGCACGCATGATCATAAACTTTCTCAATATCCAATTTGAAAACCAATCCTGTCACATGACTCTTGGACACCACTGCATTGCCCATTAAAACCGCATTCAAAATTTTACTACCTCCAACAAAGGCATTTTTACTCTCTAAGATCACCTTCCAAATCACCTTTTCAATCTCAAGGAAAGAATTTTGAATGGAATCCAGTAAACATTGCCAACCAAGATCATGAGTCTGAAATCCTTCATTTCATCCACTACCTCTTCTTTGGAGAAATGTCTCTCCAAAGCTAAACCCGTTAGCCATTACCAAATACAAAGCATGAAAATTTTGGCAAATATCCTCCACCTTTCTTAGTGCATTTTGTTAAGTGAACTCCATAAGAACACATCACCTCTCTTGATTTTTAACCTCACCAAAGCTTCCCCATACTTTCCAACCACCACCCTCCTCTAACTACTATCCCTCTCAACTGCAAAACCCCATTATGGTGGCTTACCAAATAAAGCTCTCCTTGAACAACACCCAACTAATGAACTCCTAGCCTTCCCCTCTTAATTGCAGCCTTATCACACTAAAGATATACATAGTTTTTCTTTTTTTTTTCTTTTTCGTAACCAATTGTGGTTCATTAAAGGTTAAAAAACAAAACAAAATATTTAACGTGGATTATGAATTTATATTGCCCATGCAATTTGAAATAGGTATGTAAACATGAACAAATTTTAAGCATAGCATGTACAACCCATTAGCATATATACACATTGCTCTCCAAACCACAGATGAAAATTCATGAGTAAGTTTTTATTGTTTTGTGCATATACTTCCCACATACATGGTTCCATTCCCTAGGCACCTTCTAACTCAAATTATTTTACCTATAAAAAACAAAAAAAAAATACCACATCATTTGTTCAGATTGATTGTTTAACCACTTTTTCCTTTTCTTCTTTGCCCTTTTTACGGGGAGGGGTGGATTGATTGGACTCTTTATGCAAATTAAGCAGGAAACTAAAGATATATGATCAATGCATTCAAAGCCATGCAGCTTAATGCTTATACTAAAGAATATCATAAGAACAATCAAATTAAAATTGCAAAGCGAGGGCACATAACTCACCATTTTTGCTAGAACTCTGTTCCATGTCAACGTGTTCGTTCCATGGCTGCTTCAGATCAGAAGATTCAAAATCCTGCATTGGCTTGCCTTTTGATGATGAGGTATAGGAATGGGGTACAGAAAATGAATTTATGCTGCTAGTGGTCTGCTTTTTAGCCGAAGAGGATTCAGCTGTAGAGCACAAGTCATCATTCATTCTTGAGGTTCCAACTATATTGTTGCAATTGGCCAACTCATTTTGGAGTGGCATTTCGTCTTCTATGCAAATTGGTCTCTTTCTATTAAACGACTCGTTCTTCAAATTTTGAATTGTGGGCACCCTCTGATCATTCAATGAACAAGTGGAGAAAGAAGTTTTTCCCTTTAAAAGTACCTTTGGAATACCCAAATTTTCCATACTGTCAGAATTATCCACAACTTCTTCATTCAACCCTTTTGAGTTTTGAGCCCGATCTGTTAGTTCCTTTTCCCGCATAATGAGGATAGCTTCAGTCAAACGATCTCTTGCTATTTCTATATCGATGATAGGTTCCGGATAGTTTAATCCCAATTCTACCCCTGCAGCTTTAAGAACACTGAGGGGTGCATCCCAAGGATGATGGATCCACTCAGTTGGCATTCTTGCCAGCTCGGGCAGCCAGTGCCTCACATATTCACCATCTGGATCAAAATTAAAACCCTGAACCTGGTTTCAAAATTTGAGAAAAACAAAATTTGAGGTGTCAAGAAAAGAGTGTAGAAACTGACCAACTCTGAATCAACCACTTATTTTCCAGCAAATTTTGCTTTGGTCATTGTGCTAGCAAAATAAAATGTTTAACTAGTATTTGCTACAAGCTCACCCCAAAAAGTGCATGCGAAGACCTCAAAAAAGCTTTGTTGTTTACAAAATATTACAATCTTTGGTAGTGTTTGCCAGGAGTTCTTTCCAAAAAGTCCATGAGAAGACCTCAAAAAAGCAATGTTGGTCAATTAATATTACAATCTTTTATAGTGTTAACTTGTATATCCTTAATCACTACTTTCAAATTTTACAGGAATGTATACATGACATAGCACATGATTTCGTCCAATTTCAAAATGTTTACACAGTGCGCTTCCACCAAAAAAACGAAAAAAAAGAAAGGGGGCCCTATTGCATACTAAAATACTCTTTTTCATAAAATGATTTTCAGAAAATCATGCTGTATTACAATGAAATGAATTTTCTTTCTTTCTTCTTCTTGTTTTATATTTTTCGTTTTTCTTTTATTTGACAAAGGTGAACAACAATCTTATTAATTATCTAAAACCAAACATCCATTAAAATCTTTCTCATGTAAAACTCCAGCACTACAAAGTTATCATCACAAGAAAAAACCTCAACCCCATCATTGTAAGGACAGTACTAAACAAGAAATCAACAACATTAAATTCCCCAGATACAAGAGTGCGACAATGAAAGGATTCAATTGGCGTAGGAGGTCCCAAAGACCTCAACACATAGTCATTCCATTGTAACATAGGATTAACTGGTGCCAAAACAAAACAAAACTGTGCTTCTCATGTAGTTTCTAAATACCATCAACTTCAAAATAAACTTGGGGGAAATACAAAGTTTTGATTGTTCTTGTTTTTTGAAAAATCATTCTATTCTCAAAGACTTATAAAATGAGAAAAGCATGTTTGGTGGTTCATTTTTAAGAATTACTTCTCAATAATTTCATGAAAATGGAATTCTGCATTTTCAAAAACCCAGATTGATTGAAAACTAAAAATAACTTGAAAATGGCCACATTTTCTTAATTTTTGGAAATCAAAGCCAAAAAGACGAGGTTCTGATAATGAAATCAAACCGAACCCAAAAAAATTCTCATATGGACAATGAATGTCAGTTTTCCAGTTATGCTACAATTGCATAATTTGTTGCCAACAATAAATCTATTGTGTGGAAAATCTTGTGGGCTTTTATTTTGGAACACACAGCATCATTGATTATGAAATAGAACCTGAAAATGCTTTGAAACACATTGAATACCGACATACCTCTGGGCTATCTAAACGCCCCAGCTCATGACCATCAGGTAAGCTCCCTGAGATATATTGCCAACCAAGGATATCACTTTCCAAATCGGCATCTAAAAGCGTGTCCCAAAAGTACTTCATTCCCCATTGCCATGGAAGAAGCAAAAGCTTTACAAAGAAACTTGAAACAATCACTCTTATCTTGTTGTGAATCCACCCAGTTGCCCAAAGTTCTCTCATCCCTGCATCAACCAAAGGGTAACCAGTCCGACCTTGTCTCCAAGCCTTGAAGCGGGCCTGGTCAGCATGCCACGGAAAATGTTTCAGGCTTCCCAGCAATGATCTTTCATGAGTAAATGGAAAGTTGAAACAAATGTAACGAGAATATTCTCTAAGCCCAATGACTCTAAGGAAAAGAGTGACACTCTCTTCACCAACAGTATTCTCTTCTCTTGCCCATAGTATTTGCTTCATTCGTACACATTGGAAAACTTTCCTCACACTTAATTCCCCAAAATGAAGATAAGGAGACAACAGTGACGTGGAGTTTCCAGACACCTTTAGCCTATCTTTTGAGTAGTCAACCAGTTGTTGTTCAACAAATTCACTTAGAGCCTTGTTGGCATTGCTCCAACCTGGAGACCATCCTCTTCCTAATAAAGCATTACTAGATTTTTCCGATTCATTCTCGAGACCTAATTCTTCAATCGAACAATTTTCAACTGTTCCTGTATTTACATAGAGGAAACAACAAACAAATCAATTTTCTTTTTCTCCTCTTTTCCTTTAGGATGTATGGATTTGGGTAGGAATTTGGAAAAGAAAAGGAAAAGGTGAGGGAAATGGAAATGCGAATGAAATATAAGCTAAACTTTTTCTCCATTTCCCTCACCGTGTTCTTTTTCTTTCCAAATTCATGATGCAAATACAGCCTTAGGTTGGTTCTACTTTTGTGAGTACAAGACCATAACAATACTGTTTCAACAGCACATTGGCTTCTTCACTACCATGAAATTAGAATGCATTCTTACATCTAATTTCAGGCAGCTTAAAGACTCAAAATTAACACTGTTGTACATTATCACTTATAATGGATTGGATTAACCTTAAGAATGCAACCACAATGTACCTGCAGCTGGCACCACCCGCCATGGAGGAAGATGTGAAACAGGTTCCATTTGCATGTGCAAGCACTTGTCCCAATATGCATCAAAGGTAGTAAAAGCATGTCCTTTCTCATCATATACTTCCCATGGTTCACACAACAAATCCCCATTACAGCTTTCCACAGAAATGCCAAGTTCAACTAGGTTTTGTTTGATGTTGTGATCACGAACTAGTGAAACAGGATCTGGAAATTACGAATACTCATGTTATTAACAAAACCCTCCAATCAATTAACTCAACTAGTACCTGAATGTCTCAAGAATGCAGGGATTGTGTTTCACAGAGTTGGACTATGAGTAATTCTATTTCAAGACTTGATAGTATTATGTCATGATTATAAAATCTCAAATAAACAATCCCTGCTTCATAGGATAAATTGAACTTGTTTAATCAATAATAAGAATAATATTAGTGAACATCTAAGAAGCATAGACACTTCTAGGAATGTGAGGTATATGTGTCGTGTCCATGTCAGACACAGACACTCTTTGGACACTTCCTCGACACGTATCCGACACTTTTCAAAACGTGTCCTTTTTTTTTTCTTTTTTCTTTTTTTTTCTCTTTTATGGGTAAATTACAAATACACCCTCTGAGGTTTGATTAAAATACGAATCGCCCCTTGTGGTTCTGAAAATTACATCCTACCCCATGAGGTTTCTAATTTCATGACAAATCGCCCTTTTTATTAATAAATTATCAAGTCAATTAACAATTTTTTAATGATATTAGAAATATGTTTCAATCAATAATTTAGGTAATTTTATTCATATATAGGAAAGCAATTATGAATTTTATTCTTTTACTTAATTCTATTAAATAAAAAATTCTAACAATGGGGTATTTGTAATTTTTCAAACCATAGAGAGCAATCTGTACTTTAAGCAAACCTCAAGGGGTATATTTGGAATTTACCCTATTTTTTTTTAAAGATCTGGACACTCTTTGGATACTTAGAGGACACATATATCTATCGCTTAAACACACGATTAGACACAAGTGAAATTACTTATAAGTTTGAACAAAATAACTTAAGATACAATAATAAAACAAATTCCATATAAATTTATAAGAATTTAGTGTCATATTACATTCTTTATTATCTTTGAATGATATATTCATATATACAACATATAATAAATATATAAATTATATATTTCATGCGTGTCTTCTACGTGTCATGTTCTGTATTTTTTGAAAATTAGGGTGTCGGCGTGTCCGTGTCGTGTGGCGTGTTCGTGTCCATGCGTCCTAGGTGAAAATTTTCAGGAACCATCAACTCCAGCATCAACGGATCATCAAATTAACAATTAGAAATTAGTATTCCAAGAAATTGAAAAGCCACAAAACTGTAAACAACTTCACGGCTAATTACAACATAAAGAAATGAATGAAAATAAGCACAGTGACTATATGGAAAAATATCAAATCATAGTGTTGTACATTACATCAGTCTCTATATGTACTTGCAAGAGAACCAGAAGAAGCACTTCCATTCAGATCAGGAGACAAGTCAAAAGAAATCTCAAACCAAATGTTTCCATGGAAACTATAGTTTTGACCCCAAAAAAAAAAAAATCACATATTGAGATTTGGGTTACCATTCCTTGCCCCATCCCATGACCTAGGAGAAAAAGGGACATGGAAAAAATGAATTCTCACGTAAGAAGTTCCACCAATCCCAAACATAATATCCAAAACACAACTTAGATTCTCTATCACCAGTCTCAGATTGAGAAACTCTTCTGTCAACAGTGTCTATGGAGCAGCTCCAAGTACTTCAATATTCCACATCTCATGAATTTAAATTCATGCTGAAGATGTTCACCCCTTTCTTGACTCACCACATATCTTGCAATGTTTGGCTTTTCAAAATCCGTTATAAACAAAATAATTATCTTCCAAGTAGCAGCTCAATAAAAATCATGGCAGTTCTTTCAGCAAATACTGTACCCACTCACTCAGAATACATTCCAGCATCAGGAAAACATATTCCAAAAAGCCCAGAGTTCCTAGCTCTGACCAAACTCATGTCCCAACTAGTGCATCAGATGCTGATGAAAGTGGCACTGAACATCGTAGTCAGACAATTTGGAACTTTAGACCAACTTTTTGCAAAACGATCAAGGCTACCCTATTATGACAAGTTTTTGTCTGAAATAATCTAGATTTTAATAGCAACTTGAAGTTATGAGGAGACATGGAAACACCATGGTATATGCTCGATTGTATTCTCTCAGTTGCACTATTATATTTCAAAAGATGACAATCACCATGAGGAAGAATGAGCAAGTGATTTGTATATTATGACAAATTTTTTGATTCCTTAAATAATCAGACATTTTTAAAGGTCACCAACTGAAACTATTCTGTCAAGAGTACCAAACCCAATTATATCATGCATAAAATATATATTATTACCCGTGGGTACCAATTCTTGGGTATCACTTGTCATAATCACTACTTGCCGAGAAAAATAAAATCTACTCGTTCATCTGTTTGGGTTTTCCCTTTAAATTTTATTTATTCCTTTTCTTCTCCCCATCATTACAACTTGTTTTAACTTTTTTGCAATCCACAACAATTTATGATTCATAATCTATTTAAACTTCAAATATAAACAGTGCAATAATCCTGCAAAACAGTCAATTGATCCCAGACTACATAAGCTCATAAAGACTACCAAATAAGGTATCAATTCAGCATCAAATAGTGAATCACAATTGATGAAACCTTTTTAGCAACTGAAATTTACTTGGGAGGAAGAAAGTTGCAATCAAGAAAAGAACTAGATCATACCATAGAGATGGTTATATACTACTTTTGTCGCCCCGACAGCATGAATGCAATCTAAAAGTGCATCAAGAGTACTCTGGGATTTCATCAGCACAAGTGAAGCTCCAAGAGATCTCAATGACTGTTCTAGGTGGGCAAGAGACTGCTTCAACCACCACCTCGAAACTCGACCGGGGTAGAATTGTCCTTCTTCTTTAGGGCACCATATATATATTGGAAAGACTGACCCATCCTTAGCAGCAGCAGCTAAAGCAGGATTGTCCTCAATTCTCAGATCTCTCCTAAACCACACAATGGTTTTTGAATTGCTACCCATAATTTGAGAATTCAGATCTTCAAGCTGAATTAAAGACTCCTCTCATAGCTAAAAATACCACAAAAACAAGACTTCTAAAATCTTCTAAACAAGCTTCTTTGATCCAAATCTAAGGAACTATCAACAAAATTTAATCTGGTTACAGATTCAATCAAACTACATCAAGGCATGCAATTCAAGAAACCCAGGCACAGTTGTTTATGAGATCTGGGTTTTGGCCAAACTGCCTGAAAAAATCTAGAATAGCATCCACAAATGTCCAAATTATCCCAGAAGCTACCAAAACCTTAACAGGACACTTCCCATTTTTAGCATATGAAACAGTACAAACCCTACCTCTTATGCCCTAATATATATGCATATAACTGAATAACGTCAGTGAGGACCCAATACAGCCAACCCACTACTGAGTACTCCAATTTCAACACTCAATCAAAAAACCCAGATCAGATTAAACCCAACTACCAATGAAACCCTACCCTACATGTCTAACAAACCCTGTATACAACAATCAAACCAGTAATTAATAAAAATTCTATAAATCAACCATTGAGATGGTAATATTTCTTTCCCCCCAAAATGCAAGAGATACAGAAGAGGTAATCCAAGTGAGAAACACTTCTTGAAACCCTTGTTCCTTCAAAGAACTGTTCACAAAGACCTGAACCAATAGAGTTGAATGAAACACACAAGATCGGATTTCATGGGATTAACAGCATGGATGTACATGATTCCTTGCAAATTATTAAACAATGTTATCCAGAGGACCACAAACAACCGACTAGTGTATAAAGGAACCAAGAACAAAAAGAAAAATAATAAACAAAATGATAAAACAAGGAAGTAAAACAATATGGAAATAATTCAGTAAAAGGTCATCAGGTGTGAAAGAGCTGTTAATGAGAAATACTTGTTCAGCTACCAATCTCAACCAATTGAGATTGTTTGTTTCTTAAAAATGAAAGTCTAAAAGTACTGGAAAATTCTATGACAGACATTAGGATGTATATATGTCATTTTTAAGCCCCATTTGTCTTCAGAGTTGGATTTGATGGGATCGTTAGTATGAAAATTGTTAATAAAAAAATTATTAATATGAGAATTATTAGTGAGAGTGTTAAAAAACTTATTTTTGTTTGTGTATTAATGTTGTGATATTAGTTGATTAGGACTAAATATATGAAATTATGTAAAAGTTCATATTATAGAAAATATAACATTATTATTTTTGTAAAATGGCAGGGCAAAATTGTATTTTTTTCCTCAAATTCTTCAATGATATGGGATTAGGATAATAAACTCGTCTCTCCCGTGAGATTGTTATCCCCTCCTTCGAGGTATCAATAGTCCTAAGGGAATATTAGTCCTAAGGCTTTTGTTTCAAACAAACACGATGTTTGTGGAATCCATTGGATTACTAATCTAATCATATGGCTCTTGGATTAAAACAAACAAGCCCTTAGATTTGATTATGTTATTTGGTTAGGATTGACCTACTATCATGTTAGCCATCTGAACTTGAGAGATCATTAAATTTGGTAGGCTTAGTTTGGGATCAATTTCGATAATTCAAACCGCTCACTTTTAGGAATTATTAAGTAGAATATTTATGTAAAAAATTAAGATGATCGGACATTGATAATTATATGTTTAAATTAAATTTTTATTATAAAACATAAATGATTATTTTTGAAATTATATTTGTCGTTTATTTTTTTAAACAAATATGATCCAAACACATAATTACTGATATCTATTCATCTTGATTTTTTCATAAATATTCTACTCAACAAGTTTTAAAAAGTGAATGGCTCGGATTATCGAAATTGATCAAAAAAATGAGCCTACTAAACCTAAATGCTCTCTCCAATTGAGATAATTACTTGAGAGAAACTAAACACATTTAATTATAACTTGGTTATACAATATTATTTATTACTCATTTTAATATTAATTACGATATTATTTTAATTATGACTTAAATTTTTTTAATTATATATGATATTTAATTTTAATTTTTTTTAGTTAGGACTCTCATAAAAAAATAAAAAAAAAATGTATCACCCACTGTTTTAATACATAGAACTCAATTACAAAATAACTAAAAAAGAATTATTGTGCTACTCAAATTCATATTACATGTGACCAATGATAAATAACTTAAATTTGAATTATACAATTATTTTGTAATATTTTTATGATCTTTCTTATTATCCTAATTAATAAAAATAAAATTGAGATACAAATTGAACTTGGTGAGGACCACTAAAATAATTTCTCAGTCAATGTTATTACCTAGCCGCGCACTAAGGTTATGTCAATTATATGTACTGCGCACCAATGTCATGTCAATTTATATCATCAACGTAATGCCAATCTAAAAGAATAAGTTTGGAATCATTGCTTATCCATTCAGAATATTTTAGATGCGTAATTATATGGTAAAAATTAAATTTTTGTAGTATAAAATTTATATATATAATAAATAAGAGATTTTTATTGATAAATCTATTATAGAGTTGTTATAACCTATTAGGTCTACAAAAGAATATTATAACCTGATTAGTCCCATAAACTTTTCTTTTTATTCCATAAGGTCCATTTTCCTAATTTAATATATTTTCCTGGACTATTTTGCCCCCATATATATATATGTACAGTGTTAATACGTATTTACATATTACGTGCCTGTTTACGTGGCTGTTTCCTCGCTGATTCAGTTTGGCAGTTTCTATTTTACGTTTTTCTTCATCAATCCAATTCCAAGAGATACGTTTATGTTTTGCATACTCGTTCCAAGGATTGGTTGTGCTAGGGTTTCATTCGTGGTGTTGTAGTCTGGTTCTGTGGTTTGCGATTGAAGACGACGAATAGGTAGGTGTTCGGCTGTCACATTTTCCGAGCTTTAAGTAGTTCGAATCAGTTGTGTTCGACTCTCTAGAGGATTGTAGGATTGCATGATTAAGGTTAGTATCAATTTGATTATGAATACATGTTCAGTTTATGGTTTCATTTGTATGATGGAGCAGATGCTCTGTTTTTGGATTGATATGAATTGGATGCTCTGGTTTTTCAATTATATGCTTCTTACGTGGTCCTGTGGAGGGGAGTACATTCATATTATGTGAAGAACAGTGTTAGTTCTCATTTTACTTGGACGTATGCGTAATGCGGATCTCTGTAGATGATTTGATTATCAGTATATATGGCAATGTGAATGTTGACATTTTGTTAATGTGGATTATGTGAAGAATGTGTATGTTCTCATTTTAAATTAATGTTTGCTTAATGAGGCTCTGTGTGTGTGATATAATTCAGAGTGTATGTGTCAATGTAAATGTTCAGATTTTGTTAATATTATGTGAAGTTTGTTGATGTTCTCATTTTTACTTTGATGTTTGCAATTTTGGCATCTTGTTAATATCAATGTGAATGTTCACATCTTTGTATTGTGAATTATGGATTTAGTACTTGAACTGTACACGTAGTATTTTTTGATTTTTTGCACAATGTGATTTTTCATGTCGATTTTGATTAAATGTGTAATTCTCATTTTACTTGGACGTATGCATAATGAGGATCTCTGTAGATGATTTGATTAGCAGTATATATGTCAATGTGAATGTTCACATTTTGTTAATGTGGATTATGTGAAGAATGTGGATGTTCTCATTTAAAATTGATGTTTGCTAAATGAGGCTCTGTGTGTGTCATATAATTTAGAGTGTCTGTGTCAATGTAAATGTTCACATCTTGCGAATATTATGTGAAGATTGTTAATTTTCTCATTTTACTTTGATGTTTGCTTAATGTTGACATGTTGTTAACAACAATGTGAATGTTCACATCTTCGTATTCTGAAGTATGGATTTAGCACTTCAACTGTACGCGTACTCATCTATTTTTTGCACAAAGTGAATTTTCATATTGATTTATATTAATGTTCATTGTTGTGTTTTTGTGTTTTTACAGGAGATGGATACCTTTATGCTGTTGGTGTGTACATATGGTTGCAGCACAACTGTAATAAATGTTGTCCGCGCAATGTGTTATTCTCGTTTGGTGGAGTGCCTCCCATGACTTCCAGCCCTTTCTGTGGGATTCCCATGTGACCATGCTGTTGTTGCCATTCAGAAGAGCCGCTACAATCTCAATGATTGTGTGGAACATTACTTTCATGTACAGACATATCGTGGAGCGTATTCGGGTGCCATATTCGCACAACGAGCAAATGATTTTTTCTACATCAAGAGTTTTAGTGATGTGCATACTTGTGGTACGGATGTCCGAACATCGAAGAATCAGCGAGTTAGTTCAGATTTGGTGTTGAGTACCATATCTGAAATTGTGAGGGACAAACCGTTGACTTGGCCGTGTGATGTTGTGACTATTTTGAAGAGGGATTATGGGCTAGATGTGAGTTACCATGTCGTATGGTTGGCTGTGGAGAAAGCAAAGGCTGGTATTCATGGAGATCACTCATTATCGTTTGACCAGCTACGGTGGTATTCGGATGCTGTGATGCGGTACAATCCGGGGAGTTATATCAATATTGACTATAATGTGAGTAGTCAACAGTTTCGTCGTTTCTTTGTGTCATTCGCTGCGTGTATTTCTGGGTTCAATTCTTGTCGGCTTTTATTATTCTTGGATGGAACATTCCTCAAAGGAAAGTACAAAGGTTAGCTACTGGCGGGGTTAGTATTTTTTTTACTTGTATATTCATGTCAATATTCACATTGACATGCATAGTATGGACAAATGAGTGATTGAGAAATTATAAGTACTGTGAACATTGACATTAGTATGCACTGATGTGAATGTTCACGTCTGTGTCTGCTGATGACTGTAATGTGAACATTCACATTATTATACACTGATCCATTCACATTATTAAACATCTGTGCCTGCTAATGACAGTTATGTGAACATTCACATTCACATCAGTGTATACTGCTGTCAGTTGATCCATCAATGAACAGTGCTGTGAATGTTCACATTATCAATTGCTAAACAATCAAAAATGAATTATTAATGGTCGTTAATGTGAATGTTCACGTCATTGTTGTTTATGAACTTGAATCCAGAAATAACAATAGTAATAGGACAATGTAGATATAAACATTCACATGACCTGTTTCGTTTATATTGTTTTCTATTCATTTTGGAATATTGTGAACAGTTGGGTATTGGTGTTGTGTTGTAGGTCTGTTTCCTGTTGCATTTGCGATTGTTGATTCGGAGACCACGGCGAATTGGTCATGGTTCTTGCATGAACTTGGGAAGGTTGTTGATGGTAAGCGCCAGATTACTTTTATTTCGGATCGTAATCTTGGCCTGTTAGAAGCTATGCCGAAGGTGTTCCCATCGGCTCATCACGGTTATTGCTTACAACACTTGAAGAGCAATTTAAGAGACCGGATGAAAGGAATTGATAATGGCTTCAGGGATCACCTAGTAAGTAGTTTGGGTGATTGTGCTTATGAGCCAACTGTGGTAGGGTTCCATGAAAAGCTTGCAAAATTAAAAGAGGAGGGTAAACAACGAGCACATGATTTTTTCAAGGACTTGGCACCTGAGCACTGGGCAAATTCATACTTCAGGTAATAACAGTTTCATAAAATGTTCTATTGGGCAAGTTAGAATGGTAGCGATGTGAATTATCAGTTACGATTTGTAAAAATCTTCCAATTGTGTTTCATGTTCAATGTCAATGATGTGAATGTTCACATCTGATAGTAATGACTGATTTGAATGATGTGAATGTCCACATCCGTTGTCATATTTTGCTGTTGTTAACATTCACATCATTCTGTCATTTAAGTTGATGTTAGTGTTCACATCTGTGCATCGTGTAAGTTGATGTTAATGTTCACTGCGAATGATGTTAATGTTCACATCAGTCAACGTGAATGTTCAGACCTGTTAACTTTCATATTGTAAAATGTTTGTGATATTGTGCAGGGGCATGCGTTATGGGGAGATGACTTCCAATGCGGCGGAGTCATTTAATAACTAGATTAAAGAAGCGCGTAATCTTCCTATCACTCAAATGGTGGACACAATTCGTACTCTGTTGATGCGGCAAATGTCTGCACGGCGTGACCAAGCAAACAAATGGAATGAGCTTATTTGTCCTACATTCGAAACAAGGCTTATGGATTCATTCAATGACAGCAGGTCTTGGCAAGTTAGCAAAGCCAATGAGAATGTGTTTGAAGTTCATTCGATACCATCTGTTACTGTTCATGTTGCGAGGCGTACATGTTCGTGCTTCAAATGGCAAATCAACGGATTCCCATGTGACCATGCTGTTGTTGCCATTCAGAAGAGCCGCTATAATCTCAATGATTATGTGAAACATTACTTTCATGTACAGACATATCGTGCAGCATATTGGGGTGCCATATTCCCTATACCATCGGTGGAGAAGTCGCCTTTTGATCCCATGGACTTCACTATATACCCGCCAACTGTGAAAAGACCACCCGAGAGGCCGAAAACGAATAGGATCCCATCAAGGAGTGAGAAACTGAAGCAAATAAGGTGCGGGAGATGTGATAAGCTGGGGAGCCATAATCGGAAGTCATGCAAGGAGCCGATATAGGATGTACATTTTTCATTTTAACGTTGTGTTTTACATTGGATTCTTATATTCATTTCTGAAATAAGATTGTGGTGTGTTGGCAAGCAAAATAATGGTTTGGCAAACTTAGTATTTCATTTGTGCTTTTTCATCTTCTTTTTGTGTATGAAACTGATATTTTGTTAAAGTTGTAATGATAAATACATGATGTGGACATTCATACTTACGTAAACGAATCATATTATGTGAAAACTTGCACATGGGTTGAACGTTTTTACCTTATTGTTGTCAATGTTGACATGAATATAAGATGTGATGTGAACTTTCACATGCATGAAGATTGACATGGTGTGAACATGCACAACTGTTATGAATGGAAAGAAATGTGAATATTCACACCTGTTCATGTTACCCGTAATGATGCCATGCAAACAATGTGTACATTCCTGCACAAGGTATGTGTATTACATAAAAAACTGGTTCCACAAATCGCATCAAATATGCTCATCACAACACGGCATTATGAATATCATAAGTGAGTATGAACATGCACATCAGTGTTGCAAATGTGAACAGTCACAGCTGTAAACATTAGTGCATATGTATATCGTAAGTAAATGTTCACATTTGGCAGACAACAATGTCATTTGCAACTGCTATGAGCAAGAACAAATGTGAATATTCACACATGTGTATGTGATCCGTAATTATGTCACGTAGACCAAGTGTACACTCCTGCACAAAGTATGTGTATTATACAATAGTCAGGTTCAAACATTCGCAGAAATTACACTCATAACAACACAGCAGTATGGATATTGTAAGTGACTGTGAACATTCACATTAGTGGTACAACTGTGAACATTCACATATGTAAAACATAACAACACCAAAAGTAGTTCAAAATTCGCAGCTGCCTCTTTCCTATTAACAGATGTTGTATCACTGTTTTACAATCAATTGTTGTGTCAAAATATCAACGCATTCCATATTTACATTCAAATCGACTGTTTGTTAGTTTGTAGGTGGACACCCCCCACCTATAGGTTTTAAGGAAGCTCTGATTTCTTATGATTCAAAAAACTATGCACTAACAAATCTCGTAGTCCACACCATTCTGAACTACTGAGGCTGTCCACAATTTCTTCATGATATATGTGCGCCCGCATGATGTAACATACTGCAGGTCCGCAGTCCACTCTGTAAATGCGAAATGGTTTTGATTAGCAGTTGACATGAATATTTGCATAATGGTTATAGAGGATTTGAAAAAAATGTAGTAAGGCTTATGAGTCGTCGCCTTGCTAAGGACAGACATCAACACTTTTGGTTGGTTGTGCTGGATTTTGGCCTGCTAACTTAGTGTATAGCGGTGATGACTCGCCAATAACGCTCACAACATGCTTAATGTACTTCCTCTGTGTATGGAATTTCAAATTAGGCACCAACAAACATATGTGTGTGTACAGTGATTTAATGCACGAGAACAAGTCATGTTTATGTTGAAAAATAGCCACTTACAATTTCCTGTGCTTGGTCGATATGCGGGTCATGTATGCTTGTTCTTGGGCGCAACGAGTTGTAATGCTTCCATAAATTGTCTTTAGCATCATACACAACTATCGTCCAGTGGTACTCATGATGCAATGGGAATAGTAGGTATCTCTCTCCTTGGTAGTTTTTGACATGTGCATCAATGTGTTTACTCATTTTGCGAGGATGGTACTCTCGTATCACTTTCTGTACACATTTGACAAATAATTAATGGACTGTGAAGTTTCACAGTCACATTACAAGTAATGGAATGATAGATTTTACCAAACACATGCTCGTGAAGATCAATGAGGCTTCATCCGAAGTTGGGTTGACCACCTCTTGTTGTTCATGCAACAGTTCAGCATATGCATCTATGAGCTGTACAAACATGGGGTCATATTATATAGATTTTGTGGATGTGAGTGTGTGTGTGTGTCTGTGTGTGCATATGCATGAAGAGTGAATTATATTTGTAATGGCATACATTGCTGTGTATTGATTCCTCCTTGATAAGGTTGACAATGTCATCAAAATACACATGTGTAGCCTTCGAATCTCCTTTCCACACCAGCAGCCTGTGCATTATGAACAAACCAATGTAAATATTTACATTGCACATATCTGAACAAACCAAAAAAATTGAACATAGTGAGGAATATAGACTATTACGGAATGTGAATGTTTACATTGGATGTTTGTACAGTCACTTACTCATCGCCTCCATTTTTTTGTAAAGCTTGGACCTTTTGTTTATCTTGTTTGGACATCTTGGCCCAGACTTTGAACTTGTTGGTAAAGGATAATTTTTTTGGCTGCTTCGCTGGTGGGTGTTTCTCCACATCTTCAACTATTTCGACTGGATGGGGCTGCTTTTGGCCAGGTAAGTCTGGGTACTGGAAGTCAGGCAAGCGATGTTCTTTGCGATCTTTTTCCTTTATACGCTTGACCCTAGAAGGTGGGCTGATATTGTGTTGCATTGGGCTAGGGGGTTGCCTTTCTGCCACAGCCTGTGTGACAATGTGGACTGACTGGTCATCGTAAAAATCCTGAAGAATTGTTTTTTCGCATTCTAAGTCGATGACCAGCTGCGTTAAGCGTTTGATTTCTTTATCCTTCTGCTCCATGCACTTCTTCATTTCGATATTCACGTTGGGCGGGCTGGACTGGTTAAACAATTTATGTTCAAGAGCAGCTATGACTCTTGCCCTCAACTCCCATGAAAATTAAAGGTGTTTGTACTTTGCTTCCCATTGCCTTATGACGCCCCAAGCCTTCCGATTTTCTTGGATAAGCACATCAATGATATCAGGTTGGTTTGTGTTTGGTATTACAATAGCTCTGTCATAATATTGGCTGCTAAATGGAATGTGAATGTCCTCATTACTTATTGGATCACCATTAACAATCAACAATACCAAGGCAAACATTCGCAATAGGGGGAAAAGAATCTAAATATCCCTATTCATTGGCCCAATATTTTTCAATCCATGTGAATGTTCACAGCATATAACAACAGTACCAATAATATCTGATTGTCCTAAAATTTTCAGTCAGTGTGAATGTTCACAGCATATAAGAGCAGCACCAATAATATCTGATTGTCCTAAAAATTTCAGGCAATGTGAATGTTCACAGCGTAGAACAACAGCACCAATTATATCTGACTCTCTTAAATTTTGCAAGCAATGTGAATGTTCACAGCCTAGAACTACAGCACCAACAATATCTGACTATTCCAAAATTTCCAGGCAATGTGAATGTTGACAGCATAGAACAACAGCACCAATAATATCTGACTCATCTAAAATTTTTCAGACAATGTGAATGTTCACAGCCTAGAGCAAAAGCCCCAATAATATCTGACTGAACTAAAACTTTCAGGCAATGTGAATGTTCACATCGTAGAACAACAACACCAATAACATCTGACTCTCCTAAAATTTCCAGGAAATGTGAATGTTGACAGCATAGAACAACAACACAAATAATATCTGAATGTCCTAAAATTTTCAGGCAATGTGAATGTTCACAGCCTAGAACAAAATAAACCAATAATATCTGATTGTCCTACAATTTTAAGGCAATGTGAATGTTCACATCTTCCAACAACAGAATTGGCCAAAGAGTGTCAATGCCTGTGAATTTTCACAGCATACAACAACAACACCATTAATACCTGATTACTCAAACATTTTAACTCAATGTGAATGTTCACATCTGTTACCAACAGCAACAAAAAAAAAATTGGCCAAAACATTTTTGAAACCATGTGAATGCTCACAGCATTGAACAACAACCGAATAACATCTGGAATAATTTGATTATCAAACCATTTCCAATCAATGTGAATGTTCACAGATATCAATAACAACAACTACAACCAAAACATTTTCGAATGGTGACAGTTGTGAACACAATGTAATGGCAACTGTAATGTTTTTGACTGCAAAAATCAATAAAATTAGGGATTACGATTGAGGGGTTCAGAATAAATGTTAGGGTATGAACAATAAGGACTCCTATATATTGTATGCATAGGAAAAGGGGATATTTGTAAAAGTTCACAATGTTGGTTGTTGATAAAGAGGTTTACGGTTTAAATACACGCATGAGTAGAATGCTTACATTTTTTGCCCATTTCGACGACAAAGATGTTGAGACGAAGGGACGATGCGACGAAGGAACGTATACAGTTTTTTGGGCGTACGAACGACGAAGAAGATGATGAGACGATGTGACGATCGAACGAAGACAGTCTTCTCGGCGTAGGGATGAGGGAGAAGATGATGAGACGATGCGACGATGCAATGATGGAAGGAATACAGTCTTCTGGGCATTGAGGCGATGTGGAATATGGTTTTGGATTTCTGGACTGTAGAGGTACTGTGCGTGATTTCCTGCGCAAGAATAGAGGGGGGAAGAGCGACGGTTATTAGATTCAAAGAGAGAGAGAGAGGGGCGCGTGTTTTTTTAGGGCTTTTTTGGTCTTTTTGTATGAAATGGACCTAATGGAATATTATAAAACAGTATGAGTTTTATGGAACAACACTCTTAGATAATGGATTTACTAAAAAAGCTCCCTAAATTTAAATTATAAAATGATAATTTTTAATTAATTAAGTCTGAATTTATAATATTATTAATCTAAAAAATAAATAAAATTTGTAACGTCAATCAAAATTATTAGAATAAATTATACTCACTTTTT